TGAACGATGCAACGATCCGGTTAATAAAAAAATTAGCCGTGGGTAAAAACGGTTTGATCAGAATTTCAATATAATAAAAGAATTTCCCAAATATCGGGTAACGTTAAATAAAAATTGGCCGATAAAATTCGGCCCAACTAATTTTCGCGTAAGGTGAACCGTAATGTAATTGGTCCGAATACGTTTTAATTTATGAATGGAAACGCGGTTTCTCGTTGCACATCGCGGTGTAAAACCAGCCGAAACACAACAGGGCGAAAAGCGAACGAGTTTCCGATTTTGTGCATCATTAAAATTTCATCGGAACCGAGTCAAAGGTATCCAATGTTTGCGTCTCGTGCATCGAATGTACAAAGTGTTACTTTTAAATGAGAGAACAATGGTATCTTACAAACGACTGTTGCAAAAGAATTTTTTTTATTTATTCATTTATCGACACCTTTGATATAAAATATAAAGGATAAAATAAAAAGTTTTATCGTAGCTTTTGTATGGAAGTCACGAAGATAATATATGTTTTCTTCTTCTTCTTTTTTTTTTTTTTTATAATGAAACTATATTATTTTTTTTAAAACTACAAATCCATACAGTTTGCTATTTCGCAGATCAGAAAATATTAAATTACTCGTGTTGAAAATTACTCGGAGTTTGCGAAACTTGAAACGTATGAAAGAGAAGGAAAACAACGTTAAAAAGAGAGAAGAACAATCAAGTTTTTTTTAGTAAGAACATTTTTCCCGTTCAGCTTCAACTTTTTGTCAGATATTCCATTATTCTCACTTAAACGTAACACTGCGTATACATACACGTGGTATCTGCAGAGAAGCGTCGGTAATCGCGTATTTATCCAGACAATGAAGGGAGCGAGAGCAGGTGTGTATAACCCTGGACACCTTTTGATTGGCAAACATGCATATTTTATCCAGGCTCGCAATCGGATAACGTGTTGTTCGTATCAATTATTCTCGAAAACTCAACGGGTACCGCCTAATGGGGAACGGAGTTTTAATTGAAACGTAATCCCAATTAAAATGAGTTGGCGATACTCCGCGCACGAATACGCGTAATCGTGTTAACGAAATGAAATGTCCATTCTAGCGCAAGATATTGGGACCGCGTTTCTGTTCGTGGAAAAAGAGTATTGCGAAGAGCTTTTTAGTCGATAAGTTTCGACGATAATATTCCAACGATTTAGATTTCTATTTTTTTCTTCTTCTTCCTCATTTCTCTTCTTTTTTCCTTTTCTCTTCTCTTCTCTTCTCTTCTCTTTTCTTTTTTTAAAATCTATCTTCTCTCTGCGAGAGAACGAAACGAAAGATTCACGTTAAAATAGGATATTGTTTTCTTTTCCCATAGAGAGAGGAAGGTTCTAGGTATAGAATGGTATTTTTATTAAAGGATATATATCGCCAATGTTATTCGATACTAGAAATTTATTCTGGATTGAATATACGTAGAATCGGAGGAACGCCGGAACAAAGTTTGTTTCTCAATATATTTATTCCGTTTATTTTTCTCTTTTTTTTTCTTCTTCTTCTTTTCTTTATTTGTAACGATTTACATCTCTATCTCTTCTCAAATATACAGTCTTATACTCTGCCATTACTCTCGTACCGACAGGTATTTACAACAATTCTCACAAAACGTCACGTAACAATTTCGCACATTTTTTTTTTTTTGTAAATATAACATTTCTTTATAAATCACTTTATTTATTTATTTTTTTTTTTTTCTAATAGGATTCGTGTGCCCTCGCATCACGGTTCGCGACGATCGTCACACGAAGGCGACATCTCTCTAAAATGCATCCCCTTTCCTCTTTTCTTTTTCTACTCCCCCTTCCCCCTTTAACTAATTTTCTCTTGGATTACCTGCGTAGAAAACTTCGACTTTGTAATACATATATATATATGTATATGTAGTATATATGTAATAATACGATAATTTCGTGTTTTAACATGTACGTTAAAAAATGCTTCCGCGCTGTTGACAAATAACCTTAGAAAATGAATAAAAGGGAACGCGTGTCATATTGTCGGATCAACGATATAATATATCCGGGAAATTGTCACAAACGAAGTGAACCGAGTGTCGAAAATCGAATTCGAACGACAACCAAACGACGCTTATTTCCTTCCGCCTTTCGAGAAACGACCATCATTTCCACGATGACACACTAATTGATCTTCGAACCGAGACTCGTTAACCGAGTTATCTAAGTTTCTAGATAGTTTTTTTTTCTTTTTTTTTTTTTTTCTCTTTTTTTTTT